TTGAAAAATTAAACATAAATAAGAATCATAATGAAAATTATCATATCGACATTACGTTTTTGAGATATAAATTTTAATTATGACTTTTTGAGTAATTTTAAATTCGTTCTCTCATATTTAACACTGCAGTGTTAAACACCAAAAATTGGCAGAGCAATGGAAATGAAATTCCAAAAAGATCCAACATTCGTGATAAAAAATAACACTTGACAACATGTCCTTTACCACATTCTTTCGAACTAGCCTATCATGAATTTTTATTCAGATCCACCTTTAGTCCCCCACAGACGACCTGAAATTAAGCATGATTTTTATGAATATTATATATCCCTTTATCATTTCTTATTCGCCAGAGAAAAACTATAAATACGAGTTTACAACAAGCCTCGACAAATCCCGGGCTCCAGGTCGACTCAAAATTTCATGGCGCCTAGTATTTTGTCCCATATTATTCGTGCGAAGGACTGTGCTCAATCTAGAACAGTTTTGGACTCTTGGAAGTCCGGAACTATTTTCGCGTTCGTACAGTCCTGAATCAAACTTTGTTTCTAGGATTTTAATAGCGGATTCAAAACTTCTTCGTGTTTTTTCAAGCGCTGCGGTTGCACAACATGTTACTAATCTTGCGCCATTTTATTTTTCTTCTTTCTCTCAATTCAACCAATCAGTGCGCGTCTTTAGACTCAGCCGGGACCAAAGGCAGTTAGTTTAGGCAATGCTATCAAGTGGTTGTTGATATCGTGTGATCGTTAGCATGCATTTGTTGCTGCGAAAATAAATAAATATACAATGGTGCCTCGATTATCCGCGTTGGTCCGGGTAAAGCAAAAAATACTGGATAACAGAAACAGCGGATAATCGAGGGACTAGTGAATCTCACTAGTTAGCCCATTGTTTAAGTAAAATTGTTCAATATATTTAAGTTCCTTGTTTTAAATTATAATCTTTTTACTGTCGTTTAATCACATTATTATGAAAAAAATTATAAAAGTAGTCACAATCTAACCTATATACAAGAAAGTCTGTGTCACGTCACGCTTCATTTCTCAAAATAGGAGTAATGAAACCCAGAATGCATTTATCCATATAGTTTGTTTTGTTTTGAATTTCGCGCAAATCTACACGAGGGCCATTTGCGCTAGCCCTTAATTTAGCAGTGAAATACTAGAGGTAAGGCAGCTAGTCATCACCACCAACTCTTGGGCTACTCTTTAACCATCATATTATATCGCCCCCACGACTGAAAGGGTGAGCATGTTTGGTGGGACGGGGATTCGAACCCTCGACACTCAGATTGCGAGTTAAATGCCCTAACAACTGGCCTATCCAGATAGAATAATTCGATTATTGGTATAATAAGCCTAAAGTAAAGACGTAGTGTGTGATCACCTAGCTTAGAGCCATGTGCATAAAATGTATCATGAAAGTAAAAATATCGAATCAATTTTAAACTTAAATCGTTTCTGAATTAAGCTATTTTCGATTATATCACCAACGTTTATAACAAAAACCTCTTGAATCAATGGAAACTCTAAATTAAAAAATCGACTAGTATTTTTCCACTTTTGTTGTCTATGCATTTCATTTTATACTTTCAGTACATGGACTAAAAACAATATTAGTTTATAGTTTTGTTGCCAAGCAACATGACATAAAAGCCACTGCTGGTAGTGTTGCCAAAACGCATTGGCATTTCGAAATAGTAGCAGTTGTTAATCTAACTGATTTTTACAAATAATTATTCCATGAATACGCCACGAATTCATTTCATGAATGATCTTAATTTTAATTGGCACACAAAGGAATTTACCGACGTTTGACTGCCTCGATTGCACTTTTCTGCCTCTTTGTTGGTCAAGCCTGATTTCGTAAAATGTATTTATTTCAGTTAGCTATGGTGTGGGCGGTACTTGCCCCGTCATTTTTGAAGGGCCATACGCCAAGTGTAGGTGGGTCACGCTCGATTTCTCCAAATTTCCCGAGTTACCAGAGTCCAATTCCACCTCTTCTGCTATAGACACGGAAGTACATTCGCACCCTATCAACGCCTGTGAAAAATAAGTTAAAAATTAACGCAAATCTATGCTTGGGAATTATTACGAAAAAAAACCTTTGTTAAAACAGATTGAAGATACTAATTATCTGTAGGGAGGAGAACAATGCGTAACTGGGCGACACCCCAATACAACATGAACATGCATCTGCAGCATAGAACAGCGGAATGAAGTTGAGTGAAATCTTTAAGAAATCTTAATGTGTATTTTTGTTTACTACGATTTTAATCACTAATCAAATAATGTTAACCAAGCTACAAATATTTCGTATTCATGACTTAACCGCTATAAATAAGTGGCAAGACTAGACTTGAACCTGCCGACTGACGACTTGAACGCACGCCAGATCCTGCACGCGAAAACCCCGGATATCATGCAACACCCGAACTTTGGCAGCCAAAATTAACTTCTGAGCGACAATTTCTCCAAAACTTGTAAATTATTGTCTAGAATTGTAACGGGGCAATTATTTTGAGAAAATTTGGGGAAAAGAAAAAACCGTGGATAACAGAGGCGCGGATAATCGAGCCACCAGTATAGCTCTCATTTCCTGGTACAAACAGTAGCAAAGTTAGGTTAGGCACACCTGGCTCCAAGGTCTGAAAATATTTGTCGAGGCTTGGATTCTACAAGGATGACAAAATTGTGAAATGGTCTTTAGCCATTAAATTATTAGGTCGTCCAGAAATTAATGTCGCGTTTTTTGGATGAAAAAACTATAATTTATATATCAAAACAAAACATTTCTTAAATGAAATGGTATCCATTCTTATCGATGATGCTCTTCCATCTTACAATCAAGTTGTTAATGCCCTGATTAAAGAAATCACTTGGCTTTGAAGCAAAAAACATGTCAAAGTCCTCTTTAACACCTTCCACATTTGCATACATTTTCCAATTAAGATGGTGTTGCAGCGAACGAAAAAGATGATAATCTAATGGTGCCATAACTGGAGAATATATTGGGTGGGGAGAAATTCCCAATCCAACTCCATAGTCTTGTGTTGCGTCAAACGTGCCACATGTGGACGTGCATTGTCGTGGAGAAGAACACCTTTCCGATTGAAGAGCATTTCTGGTGAAGGGCTTGATTTAAATGTTCCAGTTGCTGACTACAGATCTCTGCATTGAGAGTTCGCCGTGGATTGAGGAGTTCGAGTTTGATGTTCCACCAAATGCAAAGCATCACTTTCTGCGGATGGAGTCCAGGTTTTGAGGTCGGAAGTGGTTTTTAGCTAGGACTGAGCCATTGTTTTTGGCGTTTAATATTCACACAAAGAATCAATTTTTCATCACCGGTGACAATTCTGTCCAAAAATTGTTCACGCACCAGAAGAGACGAAGCAACATTCACACGTTGGAAACGATAATCATAGCAGAGTTCGTGATGCACCCAAACACCACCTTTATGGAGTTTTCCCATGTTACCTTTTTGTTTCATGAGAGACATGCAATTTCAGGGCCATTTCACGAGTGTGTTCCCTTGGGTTAAACTCAACAAACATCTTCATAGCATCAACATCAATTCCAACATGTTGGCTTCAGCCATCACAGTTTTTAAGGCTAAAGTTACCTGCACGAAATTTGCTGAACCACCGTTGACACTTACGAACGTCCAAAATATTTCCATAAACTTATTTGATATTATTTGTGACTACAGAGGCGTTCCTTCCCTTCTCGTATTCAAACAGCATTGCATGTCGAATGTGTGTCTTGTTGTGTGCCATTGCTATAAGGGATTAGAGTATACTAAACTTTACACACTATATAGGCTACACTAACGTGACATTTAGGCGGTTCGTTTAATTATTATAAGTGATTTAAGTTGTTGTTGTTGTTGTTTTTTTATGGGGTGGGGGGGGGTAATGAAAGTGTTCCAAAACGCGACATTAATTTCTTGGTGACCTAATACATGCAAGAAACTGTCCATAAACTATCAAAGTTCATTAGATTTGCACTTGCGGGTCAAAAAACAGACATTTTAATTATTAAACAGGAAATATTTACAGGACCATTTTCACATCCTTTGCCTTGAGCATCTCTATGGGGTGGGGTTGACATAATAGTGCTAATTAGAGGGTTGGGTACCATGTCGTTAATACTCTAGAGGCATCAATGAATATAGTAAACGAAGCCTTATCTAGATACTCGTTACCAATAAATACCAGAGACAGACTAAAACTGTGAGTGATTTAATATTATTGCGTGTATTACTGACAACTAACAGTAAACATACATTTAAACTGGCTAAAATACGATGTGCTAAATTAGTATTTACTTGGTATTGGATGAACGGTCTCGTCAGCACTTGTAGTTGACGTAGCGAGGTTGGTGTATCTTTTATACGCTATTCCTTACTTTTAATTATTAATAATTAAGTGAAAAAAAATATCAAAATTATGATGTTCGGAAGCTGAAGTCGAAAAGAAAGTATTTTTTTTTTAATTATTGAACAAGTACTTTCTCTCCTTGAAAATCATGGTGAAGAACTGATCTGCACAGAATAAAGACATACTTATGACGGAATCAGTCTGGGAATAATTAATGTAACATGGATCACCCCCTTATCTCTCACTGTTGTTGTAAACATTCTGAAACACCGGCCAAGCAATAGTTCGCGCACAGTTTCCTGACCAATTATAATCCATATAAATAATCCACACACACACACGTAATACCAAAAAATGTAGTGACGTTTTAAATATAAAGTACGTGAATTTTTTTTAAATGAAAAGTTAGCGTTTTAAACACTTTATGATCTAAAAAAATAGTCGTGTTGGTTTTCCTGTAGAAAAATCAAATTTTTTTCAAGAAAAATGCAGTGACAACACGAAAGAATAGATAGAGGTTTACTCTATCATGTTAAATCACTACTCAGTAAAATATATTTTTATATCGTGAAAGCTGTAACACTTATAAAATCACAAGTTAAATCTTTCATCAAAAACAGAGACCTAAAAACAATGATTTTATTGACCAAACCCCAAAGACGACAGATTTCTGTTTAGTTATAATACTAACAATAATACATTAAACTGTAGAAACTGAACTCCTAAAGTTATGTTGTAGTTACATTTTCATAATAAAAACTCTCTTTAAATAATGATATAAAAACTATATTCTATTTTTAAAATTTTAACTATTTTCAAACACATATTTCAGTTACGATTGAGTTTTCAAGTAAATTAAATCAAAAGGACGGAAATTAGGTTGATTATGAGCAAAATGTCGACATCATATTTTAATCTCAAATAAACAATAACTTCTATCAAACATATCAAAAATGGTATAAATTTTATAAATACATGCATTATTGAAAATAAATTGTAAAATAAAAATATGTAAATCGGCCATTCCATAATTCAAATTGGAAATAGGTATTTTTTGTTGCTTTTTTACATTCAGCTAATAATCTCAGGTTCGTCACCTTCAGATTTACATGAAGGCCTTTGATTTTCAGCTGATTTCATTGGTCTGCCAAAGTCAGGGTTCACATCCTTCTCATGTTCATATGGAATAAACTGTACAGATTTCTCCTGATCCTTAAACTGATGAGGTTCATCATCCCAAGTGACAGATCGGTTGTTTGTGTTTGGGTTATTACTGGAAAAACAAGTGCAATTATATGAATGGAAATTCCTATATACTTTATTCTAATAACTTTTTTCTATGTGTTGTACAATCGTAAGGTACTCTGAACATTTCTTTTACCTTTATTCTTCTTGGAGAATTGGGAGGGGGGGGGGACACTAAAACAATGGAGCTGACGAATGTTACCTCTTTATGCTCTATCCTGGATTATGCAACAATTGCGCCGGTGCAGGTCTGGAAGACCAGGCAGTAGCAGCACCAACATTTTGTCACAGTAACTGTAAGGCTTTTTAAACTTAACTTGCACTTCAAAAATAGTTTCTAGGTAAATAAATAAGACTTATAGTAGTATGTATGAAACAGTATAACAATGCATAATAAATTACAGGCAAGTGTATATGCTTGTGCTTGCTTATAGCTATGGTGAGTACAAGTGCCAGTGAGCACCAATTTTTGTGAGTCATAAAGTGCTTGAAATGGTTAATACATTTAATAAATTATAGTAAAATTAGTACAAAATTCAATCTCAGAGCACTTTAAAAATTTTCCTGAGGGGCAGACTCCCTAGCACTGGCATGCTTCAAAGCATGCTAAAGTGTGCTTCCAACCCTATTCCGAGTTGCCTGCCCAATCCAGTATTGCTTTCTCCATTTCTGTGCAATACCAATAATCAGTACAAACACTACATATCTAGGTGAGATTTACGATAGGTTATGAGATATACTTCAAAGCTCTGTTAGTACACCCCACAAGCCTCAGCAGCATCACAAAACACAACAGCACTTACAAGCAAAATTCTTCACAATGGTCTTGAGGTGTAAAGACCATGCATTTCATCACTAAGCCACTGCTCTCTTCAATTGAAACATTCCATCTCCACAACAAACTCGCAGACACCAAACAAGCAGGGGGTTGTCGAAAAGACACTTCAGAAGACTGTCATGGGTGGGCATGGCCATATAACCACCAACGATACCAGATCTCAGTTGTTCCCATGTTAAATAAACATCAGGTGCCACTGTTAACTGTAGAAACCAGCCCAGACAGAAAACATGGAGACTGGATAGAGAGTGGAGCAGAAGAGGCCTATCAGCATCTACTTAAAGACCATGGTGGACAGTCACCTGCTATTATAAGCCATGGATGGTTCCTACAGCACTGCTAGCAAGAGAGCTGGAAGGTCATTCATCATATCAATGGAACAACATTCTGCACAGGGCTGGTGACAATTGCCATTGTAACTTGAGAGTAATGGAATAATAACCCATGAATTATTCAGGTTAGTTCGGTTTTATTTTTAATTATAAACTTATTATTAACACAATAGCAATTACCCTATGTAACGTTCAACATAGGCCCACTAAAAGACATGCATGTTATTTCCAAAAGTTCCAGGCATCAGTAGAATTTTTTAGGTCTAATAAAATGGACTAATATTAGTTCCTATGCAAATAATTAGTTAACTGGTACAACAGTACTTCACATATTTTCAGTGGAAGTTATGAATGAAAATATAAAATTTTTTTCTTGCCTTTTTAAATTTTACTTTATCACCCTCATTTTACAACTAAATTAGTATTTTGCCATTTGTCAAACGTTGATTTTAACAAAGTGATTTCTTATCAGTAGCCTAAAGCTCTTTTAAGGTGAAAAGATATTGAAAATTTTTATAGCTAAATAGTTAAGGTTGTTTATGCTGTTGCAATACATTAACATGTTTTTACAGACAGATGAAGTTTAATGATCCAAATATTCTTCAGGTTATTGGTGTGGTAATGTATAAACGAATTTTTAAGTAATGCATAAAATTTTTCTAACATTCCAAATGAACTTATGACACAGGTGAAGAACTGGCTACAAAATCACATGTAGACTTTTAAGTAATACATAAAATTTTTCTAACATTGCAACATTCATGAACTTATGACACAGGTGAAAGACTGGCTACAAAATCATATGTAGACCTAGAAGATGAAGATCACATGAAAAGAACACAAGGTTACACAATTTTGTTTCAAAACTTGTGTTTAACCATTTTTTTACTCAAACATGAAACATACAAGAAATGTCAGTTAATAAAAATGTCCAGCTATTCAGTGAAGTTGCCAACAGATTTTTCTGCACTTACATTTACATTAGTGGTTTTGTCTTATTCTAACTGAAAGCAACTGAGTTTTTTTTTTTTTAAGTGAACACAATTGATAACTGTATACATGTTATTAAAATTCTAAACAGATGTATTGTGTACCATAAAGCAGAGACTTCCACATTTATCGGCACAAGGCCTTTGAGAACATTTCACATCGTAACTGAAGTCCCCACTGTAAGTATTTATAGATCTATAGATACTTAGTACTTTAACAGTATTATGTATTTTGTGTATTTACTTACAGCTCCCCCCTTCCCCAACACTTCTTGCACCTCCTAGTTGGAGAATCCCTGCCATAAAGGATTAGTTTATACATTTTCTTATTAAAAGTAAGTTAGTGAACTGTTTATGATTATGTTTCTGGTAATAATGAATTTCTGAAAACTGTGACAATAGGATTTCAGTAGCTTAAGAGTTTGTACATTTGTTTCTAGTCTTTTGCATAAATTTAAGTTATTGATGAACCATAGATAGGACATGTTTTTTAAAGTAGAGTTATTTCTATCTTAAAATATACTATACATACTCTTCAAATTAAGACACAATCAATCATGCTTTTCAGTTTTAGTATTTAGGGGGAATTTGTTTTTTTTATACTGGCCTGAACATTCACAATGAATGTATTAAAGCAATTTATACAAATTAAAGAACAAATACACACTAAGTCTCAGTAATTATTGTAAAAATTACTAAATGTTTTTTCTAACTCTTTGAAGTATATAACAAAAATTATATATAGACTGAAGTACATAATCAACCACTCTAGAGAGAGAGAGAGAGAGAGAAAGTATTAAGAACTATACTTGTTCTGTATTTCCATACAACAATGCTTTTTGTATTAATTACAATATGACATACAATACTTTGAAAATACAATTTTACAGTAGTTGCTTGTATTTTTTTTTTACAAGTTCTTTTATTTTTTAAAATGAATAATATGTTAAAAATAAAAAGTATTCCTTCATATTTGTATGGCTTTTTAATTTTTTTTCTTTTTAAATTTATTTACAGGTTCGTTTACATTATAAATTATTTATAATGTTGTTCTCTGATATACAAAATTGTAAAATATTTAAAAATAATCTTGAAAATAAGTTTATCTGTTAGAAAAATGCTAAGTTATTAATCATTTTAAAGTCGCTTTTTCTCATTTATCTGTTTATATTACTTCACAATTTAGTTTTAGTAATAAATTTACTTTGATATAAATGATCTGGATGTTGTTGTTTTATGTCATTTAAAGAAAAAAAACCTGAAAAACATTTAAAAGTCATCTGAAAATTAATATTCTGTTTTAATTCTGTTGCTATTATTTTAATAAAAAAGAAATTACTCATTAAAGCCATACAAGTACCAAATAATTGACACTTGATTTCATGGGTAAAAGCTTTCACTCTCTATCTTGGTAAATATTACCCATTGTTGGGATACTCCATATCTTAACAGTGCTGGAAAAGACTTTTCAAATTTGGGTAGTTTATTTACTCATCAGCATTTTCCAAAGGGGTGGTAGCTGAGTATGTATGTTACAATAACAGAGTGCTGTAAAGTTAAATGAAGCTCAGTGCTGTCACTTTCCAAAATAAAGTGCATTATGATGGCACAGTTGCTACAGGAAACATAATATAATAACATGAAGTAAATATATTACATTCCAATCAATAAGTTAATATATCAGCTTGAGAAATTTTCTTAATTTAAAAATGATATGTGCTCACTAAAACCACAATGTTATACACAGTGCATTTGTTATAAAGAAGAGTATGATTATAAAGTATAAAATAAAAGACAATGTATCATTAAGCTTAACAATAGGCACAGAGACTGTTCAGTTTAGACAAGGTATGTTTAACAGCCTACTTATTGACCAAATTAAAACATTTAAAACAATATTATTAAATTTAATGTAGCATTAAAAGGGATGTTTTATAGAACATTAACTTCAAATAACAATTTGTCTCTCCAGACCATATGAATTTGTTTCAAATATTTCAACTTGACTGCTTCTGAAGCTTCCTGTATCACAAACCCAATACCAAAAATCCAAGTTCAAAGTGAGATGAAAAGAAAACTTTACTTGAGTATAAGTATCATTGATTGTCTTGTATACGAGTCACTAAACAATTAATGTTAACTTCCAATCAGAGCAAGTTACATGCTATAAGAATAACTAAAAATCAACCTGGAATTCAGTATAGCTAATTAAGTACACCCTTTTTACAGTTCTACTTATAAAGATTAGAATTCATTGTTTCATCAGTTGCATTCCCTTACTGTTAATTATGTTTTCATCTGTAATCCCAATAATCTCTCACAAGGTTTGGGGAGCTTAGGAGATTAAGGTCAGTACTAAATACTTATATATCAAGCTAACAATGTAAAACAATCTTTATAATAAAAGTATGCTAATAAGAAATAATAAAATGAAAAAGTACTGATATTCTATATATTAATATACAACAACAATTACAGATTATACATCACTAATGTATAACAAAAAATAACTTATAAATAGAAAGTTTTAAATTCTGATATTCATAATTCCTGAAAGGGATGAGTTTATCAAACAATAAAAGTTGAAGAAACTTTAGGGATTGAGTCAGTCATTATTAAAACCACACCTGTATTAAGAATAAAACAAAATTAGTTTTAAGATGGCCTAATTCAATTGTTCCCTATCAAAACTAAGCTTTTATACAGTGAACATGCTTACAAAGCGAGATACTGGAACATTTTTATTGTTAAAAAACCATGTCATTAACAGACTTCAATGTCAAGCTAATGAAAACTTAAAGTTGTCAACATTTATTGATTGAAAGAACAGAAATTCATAGAAATGAAGATTTACTTCTTATTCCTAAAAGTAATAAATTACTTAAAATATTTGTTTTCTTTCAGAATTTTGTACAAAGCTACACAAAGTCTAAAAGGCTATTTGTGCATAGCCACCCATAACTTTGAACTAACAGACCAGAGGGAAGGCAGTCAATCAACAGCACCTACTGCCAACTCTTGTATCACTCTAGTCCGATTACATAGTGCAATGTGGCCATCACTTTGATAGTGTGTCCACAGCTGCTAAATGCCAAACATAGTTTTGAGGCATTTGGTCAAGACTATAAAATTTCAGCTGCAAAGTACAGACATGCTAACCACTAGGCCATGAGACACCCACTTACAATATTTATTATTTCTCTGTAGAGACATACCATTTTTATATTCTTTCTTCTTCCAAAAACCTTTCAAATGACCGCCATTCCTTCATTTCTCAGCAGATTTACTTGAAACTTGGTAGGATTATACCTTGGTCCAATATGCCCAGAAATGCTTTTTCAATCTTTTTTGGATTAGGCCTTTTTAAGGATTGTGTTCAAAGGCAAAACAACCCAAAAAAATTTATATTTTGGGCTCCTGTGTAGTCATATTCACAGCAATCACAATGAAAATTGGCACAAATATAAACTTTGATGCACCCAACACACTGACATAAAGAATGTTTGATTTGCCAATTTTGAGTCTATTTAGGGGTCAGAGCTCACAAAAAGAGCATAATTTTAGGATTCATGGTCAATTACTCAGCTATAATTTGACCAAGTTACATGGGACTTGGCACAGAGATGCTTTTCTACAAGTCCCACACACTGACAAACAAAAATGGTGGACTTGCCTATTTTTAGTAATTAGAGGGAGGTCAAGATGCCACAAAAAGCATAATTACTCTACTGTATTTTGTCCAATTTACAAAGGTACTTTTTGACAAGTCTCATGCATGTACATAAAAAAATGTGGGATAAGCCCATTTTAGCCATTGGTGGAGGGCAAAAGGTTAAAAAACCCATAATTTTTATGGGTTTTGGTAAATTACTTAGTCTTGTTTTGACCAATTTACATGGAATTTGGGACAAAAATACTTTTCTACATGCAACATACATTGACAAACAAAAATGTTACACTTGCTCATTTTTACTAATTATAGTTGGGGATCAAGATGTCACAAAAAGTTTTTTGACACTAATTTACACAGGAATTACTACAATGGTACTTTTTTATATGCACCATACAGGGAAATAGACAGTTTTGGAATTTTTGCCTTTTGCTCAATTTTCCAGCAAGGAAAGCACAATTTGTGGTTTTCATAAACTATTCAACCAACTTACATGGGATTTGGTAAAGATACCTTCTTGCAAATCCCAAGCAGTGTTACATAGTTTTCAATTTTTTTTTTCACAATTTTTCTGGTTTACAAATTGTCCATGTTGACCTCTCTATTTTTTAAATGCATTCAAGTAGGAAACAAAATTGATGAAATAGAAGAACCAGAATAAAATCTACACAGTAATTGTAAGTATTAACAAGTAACATACCTGGTGGAGGAAAGATCAAAACTGGAAGTAATATCTTCAGGTTTTTTATTTGCAGCCTGAGGTCTGTTGTCTGCACTGTGGCTACGACGATGTGCTTTTCCTATACTGGGTGACCTCCTACCATGTGACAAGTCATGAATGCTTCCACTGAATCGGCCATGTCTGACAGAACTAAGTCTAGGCCCAGATCCAATACCAAGAAGAGACTGGATGAACTCAGATTTTTCTATAGATTAATATATAAACAAACACACAATTGTCACTGAGGAAAATGACAAAACCAACAAAGCAATAAAACACATGAGACTTAATGATACGAGTAGTAACTTCAGGCAGAAATAAATATCTTGAACACTACTTTTACTCATCTTTGACTTTAAACTGGTAATTGAGTAATTACAAATAATGTGGCCAAGCATAACTTTACTCACAATTATTAAGCTTAATGAGAAACTTTACAACAGTCTAATATATGTAATAAAATGGCCTATATAAGTACACACATATAAATATTATACTAAATTTTGTGTCCACTCATGTAAATATGCTTTTGAAAGTCAAATTCACTTGTCTCGTATTTTCCAATAAAAATAACAATTTTAAATGCATTTTATACCTTTTAAAACTATGTTTCCAAACATTAATTTCAAGCACTTCGAAAATCATTAATCATAATTGAAATTTTAAGTTACAAACATAAGCTGCATTTTATAAAAATCCAAAAATTGATAAATGTAAGATACAGGAATTTATTTTACTGTATTAGATGCTTCCACTACTTATATGTTTTTATTTCAACATGTACACATACTGCATGGAATAAAGTTCTGAAATATCAAGTGCCAATTTCAGATACATTAAATAAGTTTACTAGCCTGGTTATCAAAGTTTCTTATAGTGGGACATATTGTACTCTTATACCTTCACTGCACCTGAGTTTGACCCAAGGTTAGCAGCAGGTATTAACCTTGGGTGAATCCAACCCATTCATTACACTTGACATACATATACAGTTAATATACACCAAAATTTAATGCAACAAATTTTAAAATATTGCAAAAATGATATATTGTCTTGAAAAACTTTAAACTGGTAATTATACATTCTTTATTGTTGTGGTGATCAGTACTTTCTACCTCCAAAACAAAGATCTAGACAGTGTGGCTAACTATCAAGGAGGTAGAATGATTTGTATGCACAATTATGTGTGAAGTATCCAAAACAAACCATTTGTTTTTTTCAGAGGAAACTAAGAATAGAGAGCCTGAAATGATATACTTATTGTTATAAACTGTTGCTTTCAACAGTATTACAAAAAAAGCAGCACTGCTGGGCATAATATGAAATACAACTAGATGATGTACCCATTCCATGCAAAGGGTAAACATGGGGGATTCCCAGAGAGTGGGTTGGGGTGACAGTGGGGAGTAAGTTTAAATACCAGTTCTTCTATGTTACTCCTCAGGATGTCTTAAGATTTGGTGAAAATTGATCTAGCAGTTCACTGGGTATTAGTGAACACACACACACACACATACATAGCCTTGCCAAGTAAAGATTTAAGTATAATGAAATAAAAACATTAGATAACTGAATTAAAAACAACTCTTAAACTTTCAGTAATAAATACCAAAGCTCTATTTTATGCTACAAGTTTAGATTTTTCCAAATAGTATTGAGGAAAGTCAAATGTTAAGGAATGCTATCACACTTTAGGAGGTGTTTCAGGGATATTTTGGCCAACTTGTATTACGGAAAGTCAAATTCTAACAGGTACTATCACACTTTGTGAAGTGTTTCAGGGATGGTTTGGCAAATTTGTATTGAAAAAAGTCAAATTTTAAGTGGTGCTATCACACTTTGTCAGGTGCCTCATGAATAACAAATTTCAATCAAGTCCTATTTCAAACTTCAAGTACTAGATAACAGATTTGATAATGTCTCCCACCTTTGTATTTCAATAATCAGAGAAACAAAGTTAAAAAGATGCCATTTGAGGGGAAAAGGGATGGGTAGGAGAACTAGATGGAAAATGGTGAGTTATGAAATTTTTTAATTTCAAGGTAAAGAAAGTCACGACTACCGTGAATTGAAACAAAAAAGTGAATACAAATAGTTGCTGAATGCCAGGATATTGCTAGGAGGGTACAACTGGGAAATTACACCAGGACTTTTAAGACAAATGGGCCCTAATGGGCAGGAGATCTCTACACTTACTCCCATTTCACTTCATCAGGGCAAAAAAGAAAAAACACAATACACTATACTATTTATTCCAAAAGTTAATTTATAAGGTATAAATAACCTGTGAGTGGGTGGAATATTTGATCAAGGGTCTCTCTCAGCTGTTAAAAGGGTCCTGTGTTTGCACTATATTGAACTAATAAACCTACACATTCCAACAAAATGAATATAAATGTACCAAATGGATAAAAGATTATCAAAATACTGTGTATCATCACTGAACAACAAGACTCAAAAACCTAATACTTTTAAATGGTGGTGGTAATAAGAAAGAAGTCATTTAACAGAACTTACATAAATAAAATACACATACACATAGAGGAGATAGCCTTATTCAAGCTTCAGTAATTGGAAAAATTTTCAATTCTCTTTAACTTTTAAACTATCTAACAAACATTATTTAAGTGAAAAATAACTAATAACTGAAAAAAAAAAAATCCAGGACTGAAGCTTGAATCTAGGACCTTTGGCTAACAGGGCCAATGCTCTATCCAACTGAACTATCCAAGAGTACAAGTTATCCTTGTCTACCTTTACTCATAAGAATTTTTAACTACAAGTATGAAACTTCATACTAGTTTGTGATGTTATGGTCAGGCAATTAGTGGATTGATTTACCATCACCAAATCAAATCACAAGTCCTACTAGACTAAGAAGTATATATTTTCATTATTACTATGATTTCATTCATATTATGAATCAGTGAAAGCAAATTCATAACAAACATTATTGTAAATGAAAAAGCTGATTCTTGTGTTTATACTTTTTCCTATAAACTTACATGGAATTATATAAAAAGCTTGATTTTTGTCTTCTTGTATGGGTTTGTTGTATGTTCTATTGTTTTAACATTGGATTACGTGTAAATGATGATGAATTCATCTTTCTTTAGAATAATTTTTTATTCATGTTCATTTTTTATGTTCACTATTTTGAAAAAAATATTTCTCTGGTGGTTTTTAAGATGCACTTTTTTTTTAATTTATAGGGAACCATAATTCTTCCAGAATGGACTACATGTTCTGAATTTCTTGTTCTAATGTTAGTGGATAACATATTCTGTAGCCTCTTAGAAAATAAAAGTAGCAAGAGAGAGAGGCTTTATCGATTTGTGAATATTCTTGAGCCCATCCCATTTATAAGTATATTCAAGAAATGAGCAAGTCCTTTGTTTCTTATCTTATTCAACTTTAAATTTTATGAATCCATTTTAGATGTTCAAATAAAGATTGATTGAAAATCATCTCTGTTATTTGGCTGACCTGAAAAAACACCATAAACAAAGTAAATGATGGAGTCCTCATGCTGTTAACTCTTTCAACACAAGCTCGATCCCAGGGACCGACCATGTGACCATTTTTACTTGTATATAGTTTTAATATTATAAAGTTTAATACAGTATTTGTACTTTCACAAAATTTGGCAGACTTTTAGCATATCGTTTTAAAAAAAAAAAAAAATTTTTTTTTAATGAAGTATTTTTGCTAACAATTTGTCCATGAATGAATCTATTTTTTTTTACTACTAAGAGCAAAGTGAATCTTGTGTAAAGATTAAAAATAATTCTCATTGTCTCAAAACTATCAGCCTTCATTTTTCGTAATCACTAAAATATGAAATAGTAGTAAATATGAAACTTATTTTATATTTCACCTGTTATTCCCTCTACCCTAACATTATATTTTATTATTCAGCCAGCAGACAATTCATCAAAGTATAATGAAAAGTTGTAAAATCAGATGTAAAATGAGCAGCTTTGACCTGTGTTCTTGATTATTGTTCATAAGATTTTCAAGTACTTCTCTTGTATTTTTACTGTCTACCACTGAAGTAGAAAACTGCTGAAAATGAAGCAATCATCGATTGTGTCAATGAACTATTTATGTGACACCACAATACAATACCTTCGAAAGCAAATAAGCATGTGGGAAGGGATAACCGACTTGACCCCTGCTCCGAGAAGAGGATGTCTAATGTATCGAATTATATATCTTAGTGTTTTATAGGAAATTTAACTTTAGTAATCACATTGCACTTAGAATATGTGAAAACGTTTATGCCGACAACAGGATGTGGAATTTATTGGCTTATGTATGTATCCTAAAGTGTTTTAGGACAAGTATTCTCCAGAGCAATAAGACTGCACTTTGATTATGTCAAAATGTTTATTATATGGTTTAGTGGCAATACAATAAACATAACAATTCTTGTAATGTTGGTAATCCTTCTGGAATATTAGAAATTTAGTGATATATAGTATAGGTGTACAAAGATTGTATTGGTGCACATAATTGTGAAATCCTACTTCTCTTTCAGCAAACTTATTTATCAACCAATAAACATTCAGGTTTCAAATCTGGTTATTGTTTTGCAAGCTTCAAGTTCAGTCAAGCACTCTGACTTTGGCTATTTCTCCATACTTTGTTGGAAGACGTTCACAAATTGGTACCAAGCAAATCCATTCTACTTGAAACCTATTTCTTGCTACTGGCTTTTTACCTAGAAGTAAGTAACTATTATTTATAATACATCTGGACTCAATAGTTTTAGTATATAGTTGTTGACCAAAATACACTGCAGCTGTTTTTGTATTTTAGCTTAAAATGTACTGCTTCTGAAATCTATGATACCCATCACAGAATATATATACATGTAAAAAACTAATACATGTCATATAATAATGCTATATACACCAGAAAATACATGATGAAAAATATAATATACATGTCATGTTTTTTTTTTCTTCTAGAAATGGAAGCTAAATGAGAACTTTTGAAATAAAGGACCTAAAACTTAAATAACATAAAACTTTGAATCATAACATACATTATAATGTTAATTTCATTTGCATACATTAATAATAAAGGTGTTTAATTAAATTTTTAATGTAACACAGTGACTTGAGCAGAAAAGTGTTAACTCTCTCAGCACAGACTCAGTTCCAGGTACTGACTTCATAACTATTTTGTGCTTGTTATAGTTTTCATGCTATAACTTTTTAATCACTAAGCATATCTTCACAAAATTTTGCATATTATCAGTACAGGTTACATTGCTTTTGTACACAAAATTTCAGCTTTTTTTGACTAAATCTTAAGATTTCTTAAGTAATGTTTTTCTCACGCCTTTTTTCTTTTCAAATGTTGACTATCAAACATGCAATGTAATTTTTATTTT